AAAAAAAAAAAAAAAAAAAAAAAAAAAAAAAAAAAAAAAAAAAAAAAAAAAAAAAAAAACTCACGACACATGTGTACAAAAGCAAAAAGCTTATTCAAAGAATTAACGTACCTCTATCTATCTAATTTCACTTCTTTCAAGCCTTGTTTTTTGTTTTTCTTTTTTTTTGGGTGTGCCTTTTTTATATATACTTGGTCTTTGGATGTATGTATATGTACTTGTATATGTGGATATATAGAATCGCAATTTACTATATAGTTCCTAGTCAGTAGTTCCTAGTCAGTAGTTCCTAGTCAGTAGTTCCTAGTCAGCAGTTCCTATTTACTAGCTATGTAGTTACTAGCTATGTAGTTACTAGTTTGTATCTAGTAGGCAGTTGCTAATTGGCTAATTGCTACTTCATCATGTCTATCCTATCCTATTAGTTATACATGGTTAGATTTACTTAGTAATTAGAAAGAAAGAAAGAAAGATTGATGCAGATTTTGGGGGATGGGTGGGTTATAAGTGAGTGTGTTGAGCCGAGTGAGTGGGTTGAGCTAAATGAGTGAGTAGGTAGATTCGCGCTTTTCTCTCTCTCTCTCTCTCTCTCTCTATGTGTATGTGTGTATATATATGATTTTATAGTTGTACGTGAAGAATGCAAGGTATGAATTACTTCTGATAATACATTGATAATACATTGATAATAAATTGACAATATATACATATGTGTGTATGTGAGATAGATGGGAGATACATGCAAGATAGATGCGAGATAGATAGATAGATGGGATATATATGCAGGTTATATAAACCAAGACAACGATGACAACAGCGACAAAGACACCAACAACGACAACGACAACGACACTAACCTAACCAAGAGCATGAATGTCGTTTACGTGTATGTATAAGTATCCAGGATGTATAGTTATGTCTATCTCTACGTCCAAGTTGTCAAGGTCCGAGTGTCAAGTTAAGTGTCAAGTTAAGTTGAGTTAAGTTGAGTGTTCAGTGTCAAGTGTCAAGTGTCAAGGAGAGGGAGAGAGGTTAAGAGAAAGGCAAGACGAGAGATAGGATAGGATAGGATAGGATAGGATAGAAAATGGACAGAAAATGGATAGAAACATGCATAGAAACATGCATAGGAGGACTAGACTAGACTAGACTAGACTTGACGAAACCCAGTAACACCAGCAAGATAGCAACAGCAAGATAGCAAGAGCAACACGGAAAGAGACCCGAAAAGACTAGACCAGACAATATGGAATGCAATGCAATGCAATGAAATCCGATACAATACGATACGATACGATAAACCCTAAAAAAAAAACCACACACTCCCCGCAACCCAAGAAAAAAAAAACACACCTTCCCCCCCTCGCCTACAAAACACACCGAAACAAGTCTCTAATCCGTCCTCGTCTTCCCACTGCCACTAGCTCCATGCAGCGCAGGATCATACTCATCGGACCTAGTTGCAGCCCTGGAAGCTCTAACTCTAGCGCCTTCCTTGAGCGCCTCTACAGATCCATCTTCAGCATCAGTATCGTCGTCATCGATGCCCTGTTCGCGTCTGCGCTGACGCTCACGCCACTCAGCGTCGTGCTCGGCATTGTCGTCATCGTCATCATCGAGATCGGAATCTTCGTCTGTGCCGCGGACGACGCCGTAGCGGCCGTCCGAAGCAGACGACTCGCGGTCCTTGATAAAGTTGTCGATGATCCAGTATTGCAGCGCGTTCATGATGAGCGGGAAGACGAACATGACAAAGGCGATTTGAAGTGCCGTGTTGCCTTCGGTCCAGCGGAGCGCCCAGTCGCCGATCCACGCGATCCAGGGGAGCAGCGCGAACAGCACGAGGACGCAGAGTTTCATGCCGATGAGACCGAGGAAGTAGATGATGGATTGCTTGAGCCACCATGTGGCGCGTGGCGGCTGGCCGTAGTTGCCAGAGCGCAGCGATTCGGGCGGGTCGGCGAGCGGCGTGCGGGCAAAGGCTGCGTGGAGGACCTTGAGGAGAAGGACAAGAATGGGGATGCCGATTGTCGTCTGGATTTGGATAGTTAGTCATGTTGTACTAGACAGGATTTTGCAAGACTGCAAACTTACGTCAATAGCCAGGTTCAAAAGGTAGAATGAACATGGGTTGGGCTGGTCGCCTTCTTCATTCTTGCCGGCATACTGCGTGGTAGCCTTGGTCGACACAGCCACGTCGAATTTACCAGACGACAACATCGACATCAAGACGTTTGCGAGGTGGAGCAGCACCGAGCCAAACACTTGCTTGGATACATCAAAGAACCAAATCTTCAACGGACGGCGGGGATGCTCTCGCATTCTCTTGACGGCAAGCGACGACACTGCAAGAAGTCCCAGAGCACCCTGTACGAACAACGCAAAGTCCCCAAGCAGATTGCACTCTCCGTTTCCAGATTCGCCATCCAGTGGGTTTCCCTGAGCGCCCTCCGGCTTGTTATCGGCCGCGGGTGCCCCCGTTTCCAGAGGCCTGGTATCTGGAACACCAGCAGCGTGGGACTGCGAGGCGGGCGAAGGCTTGGCCACGTTCTCAGGCGCAGCCTCTTCGTTGTTCTCGTTGACATTGTCGTCGGTAACAGGAGCGGTAGGTCTTGCTGGCGCCGCTTCGCTAGGTTTAGGTGGCGACTCGGGCTTCGCAGGTTTCGCGGGTTCCGCCTCGACACCCTCAATGCCCATGAGCTCCGTCTCAAACACTGCACTCGCTGTTAGACATGGTCCACTCTCCACAACCATAGCTGCACCCAAACATACCAAGCGTTGCTCCTGGCGGAATCTTGCCGCCTGCGCCACGGCTTCCATAGCCCAACTCGGGCGGTATGGTCAGCCTTCTCCCTTCTCCTATGCACATGTCCAGCAGTCCCTGGTCCCAGCCCTTGATGACCTGGCCCATGCCAATGGTAAAGGTAAACGGGTCGCCGCGATCATAGCTCGAGTCGAACTTGGAGCCATCGCTCAGCAGCGTGCCCTTGTAGTTCATCGACAGCGTGTCGCCATTCTTGGTCTTGCGCGTGCACTGTGCCGCCTTTGTGACTTGGATTTTGAGGCCCTCGGCCACAGCGAGCGACGGGAGCAGCGCGAGCGGGAGCGCCAGCAGCGCAGTAAGAGGCCTCATGTTGGGCGCCGAGGAGGGGGTGGCGAGTTTGTGGGCGCGTGGTTGCAAGAGCAGGTGGAGGAAAAGTAGGCGAGAAGCTGGCAGCAGTGGCAGCAGATTTCCAGGCGACTAGCAGCAAGCTATCCCAGACAGTAGCTGTCCTGTGGCAAGCACCGCGGCAGGCTGAGCCACTGAAACCACGGATGGGGCTGACTGCTCGGGCGTGGGAGCGAAGGAGTGAAGGGGGTGAAACACGCCCGTTCACCGCGAAACGGGGCGCTGCGCGGTTTTGTAGTCGGACGGCTCGCTGCAAGACGCAGAAACAGAAATGAAGCGGGCGGGAGAGACCACGACGCCAGAAGGTGGCGGTATGCAGCTCCTGACGTGCAGGTCCCTCGTGCTCGTGAGGTAATTGCCAGCCAAGAAGGGTGCGCCTAGAGCCCGTGGCGGCTCAACGGCGATCATGCCATGGGTGGCTGATTGGCTGCGCGCGCCCCATGAGGACACAGCACAGGCTTGCAATCGAACTTGCTTTCATATCTGTGTGCATACCGCCGAGATACACACGCAGCACGGGAGAGAGAGAGAGAGAGAGAGAGAGAGAGAGAGAGAGAGAAAAAGCTACACAGTCAAACAAAAGCCATTTCTTTCTGCCATGCCCATGATTACCTGCAAACGCCACTGATGCTAATACAGTAAAAAAGAAAGGAAAAAAAACGATATGGTGCACAAGACCTACTCAGCGCAAGTTCTGAGGTTCAAATAGTCGTCTTTAGAGACATATATATGCATGCATGCCTACTCATGGTCTTCTGGCCGCTTCAGCGGACTCGTCCTCGCTGGGCTGTCCAAGCCTGCCGATGCACTTACACCAGGCGCAAGCTGCAGGCTGTTGCGCACAATGCCTTGGCCTGGCCGCACCACAATACTGCCCCGTCGGTCGCGCTCCAGAGGGTCTACCGTGTTGACCGGCGCATACTCGTCCTGGTTCTGCAGATGCGCATTCATCAGCGCCTCCTCCCTCATCTTCTTAATCTTCATGTAGTTGTACGCGGCAATGCTGCCAATCGTCACAACAAGCCCCGTCAGATTGATGGGCGTGAGCGGGTCCTTGAACACCAGGTTTGCAGTGCCAATGGTGACGACCTCTTTGAAAATGCCACAAATGCTAAGCGTCACCACCGACGTCCGCTTCAGCAGAGCAAACTCGGACGACGTCATGAGGAAGGCCAGCACGCCGGGGAACAAAAGAATGCCAATGCCAAGAAGCGTGCCCTTGGTTTCAAACAGGTGTGAAAAGCCCTCCAAAAGCGCGGGGAAGCCTTCCACGGGTATCGCGAGAATGAATATGCTGAGGAACATGACGGGCGCAAGGAAGAAGATGGACGAAAACGGGTTCGCCGTAGCGGGGTTGCGCAGGAGCAGAATCTGCGTGAGCGACCAGCGGAAGCCCGACGAGCATGCCGACACCATGACGAGAATGAAGCCGAGCGTGTGAAAGGCAGCCTCGCCGGCCACCATCATGACGACGCCAATCGTCATGATGAGAATGATGAAGACGAGCCGCCACGACGGCTGCTCGAGGCGGAAGAGGAAGGCGAAAAGGAGGACGAAGCCGAGCGCCGACGACTTGCACATTGCTGTTTCACGTTAGCCCTCCTGCTCAGCGCGTGTTGGCCTGCTCGAGACGCTTACTGAAAAATGTCAAAGAAATGAACTTGAGGCTCGTGTTGCCAAGGCCAATATCCATGCCTGTCGCGGCACCGCACGGCCCCAGCCTGCTAAAGTAGAACCACTTTGTCATGAGGGGCTTCTTGGGATCGGCGGGCTCTGCGCGTGCCCTCGGGTTGAGGGAATCATGGCCGGGGCGAAAGGCGGGCACGAGGAACAGCACAAGGGATGCGAGGGTAAACTGGACGACCATATGCAGGCAGGTGGTGAACAAAGGAAAGGGAAAGATGTTTGTGGTCTCGCCGTCGTCCTTGGCCTCCTTGAACATCCACTTGTTGTAGACGGATATGGATATGGAGAAGAGATACCTGGACGCGTTAGCTGGGCTCGCCCCTATATATATATATATATATATACATATATAGTTGTGTATGCGTACCAGAGGCAGATGAGGACGGCGTTGACCAGCATCGACTTGAGGAGGTTCTGGTCGGCCAGCTTCTTCTCCTCCTTGGTGTACGTGTCGTCGTCGTGCACAATGCGCTGGTCCAGCAGCGTGTTCCGCCGCTTTCTGCGCCGGCGACGCCGCCTGTCGCGCTTGGTCAGGCCCGTCTCCTCGTCGTCGTCGAGGCCGTCGGCGCTCATGTCGTCGCTGTCGCTGGTGGTGCCGTCGTCGTCGCTGGTGGTGCCGTCAGCGGCGTCGTCGTCCTCGCCTTCCTCGGCGATGTGGTCGGAGCGGCGGCGGCGGTGCTTCTTGGAAGCGTCTTTGGTGGTGGGCAGGATGGCGCCGGCGAGCGAGGAGGAGCGTCTTCGGGCAGCCGTGTGGTCATCCGTCGTCATGGTAAGGGCTGGCGGATGGGTCAGTGTGCAGATGTCGATGCCGGGGGCGGGTCTGGCGGCTGCATCCGAGTCGTGGTCGGAGAGCGAGCTGTCGGAGGGGAGCGAGGGCAGGGTGCGAAGGGGGAATTCGTTCCCCGGACTCAGCGGCGGGCCTTGGTGTGCAGCGGCGTCTTGAGTCTGGAGCCAGCGAGCGATGCGGGTCTGGTCTGAAGTCATGCTGTCTGGCGGCCTGGGCCTGATTCGCCTTAGCCTTCACCGCCAAGCACTACGGAGGCCCCGGTTTGCTGCTTCTAGCGAGAGGCTAGCATCAGGGGCGGATGCGGGCGTGCGGGCGTGCGGGCGTGCGGGCGGTGCGTCAAGGGAGGCGGACGCTCCAGAAGCAGCAGCAGCAGCAGAAGAAGAAGAAGAAGAAGAAGAAGAAGAAGAAGAAGAAGGAAACGCAAAGGGAAATGGAATGAATGCAATGTCCCTGTACACACACCCACACACACACCCACACACCCACACCCACGCTTACATTCCTCGACACGCAATATCGGCTCTCCTGCCACAGCGGCCAGCTCCCTACTGTCGCGGCCCCGTAATCTGCTACACCGCCGCGACAGCCAATCACAACCACGTGCCACACGCCAGATCCAAGAGGCGGGGAAACAGCCACGAGATCCACCACCCACCGTCACCGTCGTCGTCGTCGTGATGCCATTGTCGCCTAGACGCCCGCCAGACTAACACTGCACGCGACCCCCCACCCCCCATGACGCTGATGTCTTCTGCCAACTCTCTCCAGCCCTGTCTGCCTGCACGCACAAAAAAAATCAAGGCTCCAGCCACGGCGCCCGTCCACCGGTTTCACACCCTCTCCCGTCATCATCATCATCATCATCATCATCTTACTACAAAAATAACCCACCGCGCGTGTGCACGTGCTCCCACAAGCAAAAAGTCGCCATGTCCATTGCTTCACGTCCTTCGCCCTGCACGCCACCTGTGCGCCAATGATGCTGCGCCTGCCAAGGGGAATATACCCAAACAATATCCAGTCTCAAACGCCGTCGTATGCAAAATGTAGACACTCGAAAAACAAACACACATTACAACACGCACAGGGCTATATGGCGGTGGGCGGGGCGACGGGCGCCGGCGGCAGCTGCTCGATTTGGCGGATCAGGAAACTCTTTTCGTCGATAAACTGCTCGTCTTCGGTGCGGTCTTCGAGAAACGAAGGCAGGAACCGCAGCAGCTTGTCCCGATTACTGATCAGGATACGTTGCACCGCGACGGATTTGTTCGGATTCGCGACAAAGACCTGTTTCCTGTCAGCGCTGCCCCCAAGCGGCGCCCCGAGCCACAAGACTACCCACCTTGAACACGTGAAAACCCTCGTAGTTGATCATTTTGCGGTCATCGCGCAGCAGCTTCATGATGATCTTGAGATGCTCGCCCGAGTCGACGTATTGCGTCATGACGTTGTAGTTGGCCCGGTCCAGCAGAATCTCGCCCAGTAGCTTGATCGACTGGCGCTTCGTGACATAGCTTTCCGACTGCACCAGCATCGAGTTGTACTTGGAAAAAAAGGCGTCGAAATTCGTCTGCAGGAACGTCGCCACCAGCGGCTTGTGCTTGGTCAGAATCTCCTGTCAACATGTCAGCCCCCCTGCTTGGCAGTCCTCGTACCGGCGTCCAGCCCTACCCTGAAGGTATTGAATGCGTCTGCGCTGACTTCAAACGCGCCCTTGTCGATCCACCCAAAAAACCGCCAGAAGACGCCGTTGCCAGACGACGGCAGGTCGGGATTCACGTTGCCCAGGTCCAGCGTCTTGCCATCCTCCATTGGCTCGTCGTACAGAAGCAGTGCAGCAATCGCGTCGTACTTGAGCGCCTCGCGCAGGATTCCACCGCATGGCATGGCGCTCTCCCGCCGGTCGTAGCCCCGACATAGCGCAATGATGATCTCCGGTCGGTATGCAACAACGTGCTCCAGCACCTGCGGCGTCGTCTGGCCGGCGGGCTTGTAGCGAAAGGCTGTCGAGAAGATGACCTGTGCGTCCTTTCGCGATTCAAACGGAAGCCGGTGGATGTTGATGGCGAGCACATACAGCACGTCTTCGTTGAGGATGTTGGTGAGCAGCTGGAACACGGCCTCGGGGTTCACTTCTGTGTCTTTGCAGCTGTCAGCACTCGACATGGCCCCAGAGCAGAGCCGTCCCTACCAGGTGTTCCCTGAAGCCTAATCTTCATCTGCTGCAGGTCGAGCGCAAGCCCCTCCTCGAGCTGTCACATGTCAGCCACGTTGTGCAGTCTTGTCGACGCCGCCACCGCGTCGCACCTTGGGGTTGGGCCTGTCCTCTTGCCCAAGCCGCAGCGTGAGCTCCTTGATGGATCGGGTGAGCTCGAGATTGTTCTTCTGCTTGTTGCGGAATAGAAACGCCATGTTGAGCGGTCGGGCGAGTCGTCCAGAGCGGTCGTCGCTGGCGAGGAATGGCGGCGGCGGCGACGTGTGGGGTGGTGGTTTGGGGCCAGGGCCGAGAAGGTGCTATCTTGACGGTGGCGACATGCAGGCGGGCGTGGGCGTGGGCGTGCGTGAAATGAGGCCTGGCACAGGGGGACGCTGTCGACGGCGCTGCACGAGTCGAGAATGCGCTTTGTTGTTCTGCCCGTGTTTTGCTGTCGTGACGCTGCTGCTTGTGAATGGCCCGAGGGTCAGCCCTGCAGCCAGTCCAGTGCTACTTAGCGCCCGCCCCGCCCGCCTTGCTTGCACGCCTTCGCTTCCACTCGCCCAGCGCCTGCATTGCTCCTACACCTAGCTACACACACGACGCGCCGACAGAGGCTCGCGGCACTGGCTTCATTCGCTTGCTTCTATCATTTGCTGCGAGATATGACCTCATGTCCGCAGCTGACCCGCGCTAAGTGCCCGTCCACGCGGAAATCCTCCGCGCTATCCAGCAGTCCTGGTCTTGGCTCCACACCTCCACATCCTTTTTGGTAAATGCAATAAATATATCACGTACAATTCCGACCCCGTCCCCCATGCGAGCTCTATGGTTGCCCAAAGTATGCATGCTCCAGAACCTGGCATCGAATGTTAGCTCAGCCTACGCGTCTGATCGACCATCCGTACCTTTGATGCACTCGTTCTCATGCCGCTTTCGTACCTCACCAGACTGCCGACGAGGTCGCGTTCTGGCTCAGAAAGAGTTGGTAGCAACACAGACCAGTCCTGTGCTGGGTACTCGTAGAACTGCACCTTGCCCCAGTCGCGGAAACTTGCTGCCTCCTGTTCCAATCAGCAAAGGCTTCATGCCGATTCGCATGAGCAACTCACCGGCCAGATATGCAGCGTCGGCGTTCCCAGCTTCTTGAATACGCTCTGAATCAGCGCCAGATCGCTTCCCAGCTCCCCAGAATCAAAGAGCGTCTCGTGGTCTGGGTGTAGCGCCTCCGCCACCGTGCAGCCAGCAGCCCATAGATCCAGACTACAATCGTACTTTTGGTTGCCAAACAACAGTTCGGGTGGCCTGTAGCAGGTGGTTCCTACATCGGTAATCTTGGAGTCTGCTGCTTCTGAACCCGACACACCGGCCGCCCATGCAATGCCAAAGTCGGAGAGGAATGCCGGGCCGTCCAAGGACTTGAGGAGAATATTGGAAGGCTTGATGTCGCGATGAACGATACCCTTGCTGTGAATGTACGCCAGTCCGGTAAACAAGTCTTTTAAGCACGACTTGACTTGGCCCTTTGTCAATTTCCTGTCGTGCAGCACATCGCCAAAGTCGTAGCGCATAAACGGAAACACCAGAACGAATTGGCTCCCGTTGAAACTGAAAGTTTCCAGCAGCGGCATGATGCGCTCCGAAGCCGCAAGAGCGAGGATTTTGGCTTCCCGCTTGGAGTCGTGGGGCGGCTCCATGACGGAGGGCGTGGTGAGTTTCAGCGCAACGAGCTTGCTCTTTGCAGGAGAGTCTGCCGGAAAGAAGCCATCGTGGCCCAGGGCAGGCGATTTGTAGATGACGGAGAAGAGTCCCTCGCGGTGGTAGACGGCGTTGTGATACTTTCCAATCGGCTTGCCGCCTGGCGTGGGCACGTAGTCTTCATCCTATGGCGGGGATTAATGGGCGTTGACATGGCCAGCGCACAGCATCTAACCTCTGGTGTGGGGAATTCGAGTGAAGGCCGTGGAAGGCCGATCATCTTGTCGTCGCAGAGTCTCTCATAGTCGTCCTGCAGAGGTGTTATACAGCCAGGGCCAGCATCCCCGCGGCGGGCTACTCACCAGCGACTGAGCCTCGTCGTAGATGTTGGTCTCATCTATAGTGGCCTCGCTGCGGGCATCGGCTGCTGACAGCGCCGGGTTTGACGACTGGTAGGCTGAGGATCTGTGACGCAGTTAGATGAAGGCGGCGAAAAGACATCAAACAGTGACGTGTAGAAACTGGGCCTGTAATTCCATGGTGGACGGCCGACGAGCATACACCAGCCCGATCCAGGGCAGGCCCTGTCCATGGAACACGGCAGCCCTGCACCGGGTTTGCCTAGCGCCGAGAATGGAGATCATGCTACTTGCATCTTGGTGACAGCCAGCAGGCGAGCAGAGAAGCCCAGGCTGGATCGCCAGTCGGACGAGGCCATGTGTCGCGGGCCGTGGCTGGGGGGCGGGCAGGAATGCGGGGGCCAGGCAGCAGAGAGCAAGGACGAGGATGTGGTTGCGGGCGCCGTCGTCGTCGTGGTTGTAGCAGTGGCCGTCGTCGTCGTCGTCGTGGGCGCGGTGCCAAGGCACAGGCAAGGCATGAGATGGGCCGAATAAGGGCATGGCTGGCACCCAACTGCGCCCTATTGGGGCCCCGCAGACGGCTGCTGCGAGGGCTGCCGGGCGCGCACTCTCGCACTGGCACTGGCACTGGCACTGGCACTGGCGCTGGGCGAGTCTCGTGATGCGCACCGCGGGCGCTGTGTCTGGGGGGGCCGGGGGAATAATGCCTGGGGGGCGCTGCATACATGTACATGTACTTGTACACAGCACCCAAGGTTACGTCAGTCCCCGGCCCAACCGCGGCTGTCGACTAGGCCCAAAGCGACGAGCCCCAAGCCACCACTGACAGCGCAGGCGGAACGGCTTCCACGACGCCCACGCTCTGAACCACCGCCCACCGCCCACCGCCCACCGCCCACGGCCTTCTCGTCTCTTCATGTAAACACGCCCCGGACCGCACCTCTCCGGCTGCGCGCCTTTCCCCTCGCCCCCCCGCCGCATCCCCGCCATGGAGCTCCAACGCAAGGAATATCCGGCACTGCTGGTGAGAGAGGCTCCCCCCCCCAGCGCCCGCGAGGCCCGAGTTCACGGCATCCGCTCACCCCATCCGCAGACGTCGCTCTCTCCCGCGCAAGCCGTGGCCGTGCTCGACAGTCGCATGAAGCATGTTGGCCAATTGAACACGCATATCGCCGACTGGCTGCAGGTTGGTCGGCCCTAGGACACGCGCTGCTGCTGCACGGCACACTCACCGACTACGCAGGAACGCCGTCGCGTAGAAGAGCACTATGTCCAAGGCCTGCGCAAGCTCGCCAACAAGCACCCGCCCGACGACTCGTCAGACCTAGGGTATGCATGCCTCTCGAGCCCCCGCACGCGCATGAATTGACCGCCCCCCAGCGTCCTCGCGACTCCATGGCAGAAGATTGTCAGCGCGACCGAGTCGGTCGCCCAATCGCACGCCCACCTCGCGACCAAGATCGAGGCCGACGTCGAGCGCCCCCTCCGTGACTTCTCCGCCAACAACCGCGAGATGCAGGCCATGGCTAACATGCAGGGAAACCTCGCCGCCATTGCCAAAGAAATCGACACGGCGCAGAAGAAGCAGGCCAAACTTCGTGATAAGGGATCGAAGGCCAAAGCGTCCTCGGTCGCCGAGGCGGTGCAGGACATGGAAAAGGCCGAGCTGCAGTGGGACACGCAGGCTCCCTACGTTTTCGAGCAGCTGCAGGCCATTGACGAAACCCGTCTCAACCACCTGCGCGATGTGCTCACCCAGTTCCAGACGCACGAGGTTGACCAGGTCGAGCGCAGCCGGACCACAGCCGAGGAGACGCTCAACGCCATGTTGAACATCGAGACGGCCGATGAGATCCAGACATGGGCCCTGCGCATGCGAAGCGGCGAGGCCCCTCCGCCTTTGCGGAAGATGAGCAATACCCCAGCCAATCTGGCGCCGCCGCCCCTGCCCACGTCGCCGACGGCAGCAGACGACAACCGCAGCCAGAAGAGCGGCTCGGCGCAAGAGAAGCACAGCTCCAATCCTCTCAAGCGATTCGGGACGGTGCTGGGCCGACGAAAGAGCGCCCACCCATACGGACGCGCGACATCGCCAGACCGGAAATCGTCGGCAAATCTGGGTTCCGCTTTTAGTGGATTCGGCAAGGGCAAAGCAAAGAAGAACGAGGAACCTGCCCTGAGTTCAACCGCAGAGCGTCCAACCTCGCCGCTGAAGCGCCTTTCTCAGCAGGCCTCGCAAACATCAGAGTCTCCCAGCCTCACTCGCCAAGCCAGCCCCGAACCGGCTGCAAACGGAACTATACCCGAGTCGACCTTGGAGATGGAGGAAGAGGCAGAGGAGCCCCGTGCTGTGAATGGAACCTCCTCTGCACCGGAACCTATACCAGAGGTCGATGAGTCGGCACCGCCAGTTCCAACCAAGGAAACGCAGACAGAGCCAGCAAAAGACGCTGAGGGCTACTCTATGCGTCCGTCTGCCATGGACGCCATTACCGAAGCCGAAAGGGAGGCTGGATTGTAAGTATGCCGGAAATCCGCGAGCTTACAGAGCTGACAAACATTAGCGCGCAACCCGAGGGGAGTGCACCTCCTCAATTTAAACTTGATATCAGAAACGCCCCGATCCAGGAAGAAGACGGCGATGCAGATGCAGCTACAGCGAACCTAGTCAACACGCTGCGTGCAGTACGTATATCTGGAAACGCAAGGGATGCACACTGACATTGGAATAGCAAGCCGCACAGCCAAAACGGGCGACCACACTGCGAGGCCGACGAGATGTTCGTAACACGATTTTCGTGCCCAGCCCCGCAACGCCAGAACTTCAAAGTATAGGCGAAGTCCCATTACCATTGAGTAGTGATTCTGGCCCCGCCTCGGGGGCTGCTTCTCCACCTGCTTTACCCCCACAGCCTTCTTCGCCAGCGTCCAAACCACATCGCGCCTTGTTGTCAGAAGACCACGCCGCATCGGATACACAGTCCATCCGGTCGGGCCGATCCTTGAGTAGCTCCGCTAGCTCTACGGTAAAGCATCCCGACCTGCATGAACCGGGGCTCAATGCGTCATTAGTGGAGACGGTCAGCGCTTGGTTCGAACAGGGTAATGTCACCAAGGCAATGGTAATCGGGCAGGTTGCGCTTGCATATAATCCTGTTGATATTTCTGCTGGTCCATTCGGCACCGAGAGTATACGTCTGGAGAATTTCCCTGTGCTCGAAAAGGTAGCGCCTAATCCCGCTTTCATTGAGCAAACGCCAGAGAATCCAGGCAGCTACACTGTGGATCTGTCCAAGATTACCAAAACTTCGGTAGCTTTCCATTACCAACTGCACGTTGAAGAGAGCAATGTCGGCTCTCTGCCCCCAATCATTCTCTCTCCAGCATGGAAGCCAGAACCCACACAAACCTCTGTCATCCTCCACTACTCGCTCAACCCCAAATTCGACCTCGGCACCGCCACCAGCATCACCATGCGAAACCTCGTGCTGGTGATCCGCCTCGAGCCCGGCTCAAAAGCGACATCCTGTCAGTCCAAGCCCGCCGGCACCTTTTCCCGCGACAAGAGCCTCATCTACTGGCGCCTGGGCGACGTGACCCTCGCCAAAGACTCGGTCGCACAAACCCTTCGCGCGCGCTTCTTGACCGACGGCCAGGCCAATCCCGGCAACACGGAAGCCCGCTGGGAAATCAGCGACGAGCACTCGCTCGCGCTCGGCAGCGGCCTAGGCGTCAGCATGAGCCAGTCGCTCAGCACCAAAAAGGACGACGCCGAAGACGACCCCTTTGCCGACATTGACGAAAACGCCCCGCCGAGCCCCGCTATCGAGTGGAAACCCGTGAATACCGTCAAGAAGATGATTAGCGGTACTTATCTAGGCGTGTGAGCGGACTATATATATGTGGGATAAAGTGCTTTCGAAGGGCAGCTGGAAGTGTGTGTGGAAATTTAAGGGAACTAATGGGCCTCTTTTTTTTGTGAGAGAGAGAGAGAGAGACAAGAGATGGGGACTGCAAAGTTGACAGTTGTGTGTCTATCTGTGTACTGTGTACTGTGTGTCTGTCTGTCTGTATGTGTGTAAGTGGAGGAAGATGGAGGGGAGGAAAGGGCGTCGTTGACAACCACAGTTGATTGCATGCGTTTTCCTTATCTCGTCTCTATTTTTCTTCCAACCTTTTTTTTTTCTCTTTCCCCTTTCTTACTTTCTTTTGTGCCTATTTCTCCTCTTGTCCTCCTTTTTTCTTTCTTTCTTTCTTTCTTTCCTCTTCTTCTTTTTTTTGTATGTGTGTGTGTCTATCTATCTATCTGTACCTGCTCTTTTGTTCTGGGGGGGGGGTTTTCTTTCTTTCTCCATAGCGAGTACCGTGATAAAAACACAGAGGGGGAGAGAGAGAGAAAGAGAGAGAGAGAGAAAGAGAGAGAGAGAAAGAGAGGAACTTTGTGTGTTACTGTACACCTACGCATGCACACTTGTATAGTGTGCTGTGTTCTTGCTCTCTGTTCTCATTTTGACCCCCCTTTTTTTTCTTTTCCGTCATGTATGGATAGGCGCGCGCGTGTGTGTCTGTGTCTGTGTATGTGTCTGTGTGTGTTTGAAATATCCATCTCCATCTCCATCTCCATCTTCTCACGTCCTTGATCCCTGCTCTCTCCTCTCTCCTCTGTTCTTCTCTCTGTCCTCCCCTCATCCACCCTCAACCTCAACATCTCTCTCTGTCTCTCTTTTGTCCCTGTTTCCTTATTCCCTCCTTATTTATTTTTTATTACTTCCTTCTCATATTCGAATATATGCATGTATATAGACCCTTTTCCCCTATACATAATCTGAATCTGAATTAGAATTTAGAAGTTTGATTTTCCGCTTTGCCTTGGTGTGGATTGCCCTTGGCATTTCTCAATAAAGGTTTGTATGTGTGTTATGTTATGTATGTTATGTCTATGCTTGATGTAGAGATGTATGTATGTGTGTGTATGTGTGTGTTGGACTATGTTGGTATTGTATACATGTAGCTGGAAAGGGGAATTGAATGCTTGAGTTTCATAGAATGAGTGACGAGGATGATGATGATGATGATGATGATGGAGGAATGTGCTTTCTCATTATGATCTTATTATTATTACTCTTGACAAGAAAAACTGGTATGCCGTTCCTGTGCCTTTTCTTAACCATACATGCCATACCATCTCCTCTCCTCTCTCACTCAACACAGTATACTATTTCATTTCACCTCGTATTCCACAGCGACTCCAAAGTGAACTCATCATTGCCTCCAGCTGCGCAAAAAACAAAAGCTTACCTGTGGATAGCTGTGCAACGGTCATGTTTTGCTTCAGCAAGAAGGGGAATGAATGGATAATTATGTCGCAAATGTGCGAGCAGTCGTACTAGCAGTGCCTGTCTAGGAGATAATGGATGGTCTGATAATTCACCGTGTATGTATGTATGTATGAACACCAGATCAATAGGACCAATCTAATGGCATATCTGAAAGCAGCAATCAGCAAAGCACGTTCTTGGTAGCCACAAAAAAGAGGGCAAGGGAAGTAGGCTAGTCCCGGGTTCTGCGGGCATCGAGTTATGCATCTACGCGAGATGGGAGTCAAGTTGTAATATTGACAGTGACGCTGCATCCTAGATGCAAGCGTTGGGACTTGACATCATCATTATCGTCGTCAGCAGGGTAAAGGGGGTAAGTAAAGGGGTACTGGTATCTCCAGGGACTTTTGTAGTGGTGGTAACGGTGGAGGAGGTGGTGGTGGTGGTGGTGCAAGTGACATCACGACTATAGGTGCTGACAGACCAAAGAGTAATGCATTAATACGTCGATTCCCAAATTTCTATAGAGTTATGAGTAAACTTACATTTGAAGACGAAGAGAAAAATAAAATAAACAACATGATCCCTAGTCCCAGAATACTGTTTTTCCGAGCAAAAAACGCCTTCGCAGTTGGTGTGTGTGTGCATCCAGCTATCGAGCCGAGTTAGTATCGTCGTATTCTCAGTATAACTATTACTGATTGCTAACGACTCGCTCTAGCTCACGTTCAATCAATGCTCTTTGCAAGCGCCCATAAGCTGTCAAGCTTGGCGCGACCAAGTGTCTCGCGAGCCTCGCCAGCGGTCTCGCATACTCTTGAGCCCCATTTGCGGAAGGACCGCTCCTTGATCTCACCCTCGAAGATGAGTATGCACTTGTTGGACGAGTTGTCCTTTACGTCACCCGTGTCGGTAAGCGGCCTTAACCATTGTGGGTCAGAAGCTTGTTTCTCAGCCTGGTTCTCTGTAGGGGGACCATTCTCATGCCATTTGATGCGCTGAAGCATGAGCTTCTTGTACTTGTTGATTGCATATGCGCCTCCCTCAACCACGACAAGGTTGAGATCGGGATTGAAAAGAGTGATGCCAGTGAGCGAATATTCCTTGGCGTTGCTGTCGATCTGGAAGCGGTGCTTGCCATACGCCAGAGTATTAATCTTAAAGACACACATGTACAGTCCTTTTTGCGCGTCCTTTTCTTGGTTGGAAGCGAGTTTGGCCTGTCTTTGTTCTTTGGTCAATTTTCGCTCCTCGTTGGCATTAACGTGATCGTCGTGGCGCTGCTGAATTTGTGACTCGACGAGCATCTCGACAGCCGTGGGGTCGGCAATGGCTTGTTCTCCCATGACGCGCATCATGTTTCCACGCTTGACCTTGGGTGGCGGAGGCGGCTCCAGACCAAGACGAATCTTGGCTTGGTGTTCTTTTAGATCAGCGGCACGGCGCATCCTGCGCAGCTTCTGGGTTTCTTTCGTAGTCAGGTACATGGGTTTGACTTGAACTAGACGCTGATCCTGGGGTGCTTTGAGCAGGGGCGGGTGTTGGACGTAGAGTGTAATGATGGAGTCGTCAGTCTCAACCTTGACCTTGGATGGATCGTCGAGGCAATCATAGCTGGGGTCAGCTAGAACGCCTTCGTCCCACCATTCAATGTCTGGCGGTTGTTGCACCAGAAACCCACGTTCGCTGTTTTCGTCGAGGCCAGCGCGGCGGGCCTGGATGGCCAGTGTCTTCTTGATCTCTTCGAGTCGGCGTTGTGCGCGCAGCTTGGAAGCCTGGTCAAGGTACTTTCCGTGCTCGTTGAAGGAGAGAACACGGGGGCCCCTCTTCTTGGCAAGAGCAGCAGCCTTGGGGTCGAAGTATGGGTTCTCCAGCTCTTCTTCTTGCGCTTGCTTTTGCTTAGGCGTAGCAGCCTTGGGTTTCGCGTCCACCTTGGGCGTCTCTGAGCGGCGGTTGCCCAGTGTTGTCGCAAAGCGTGGGCCTGTGGATTCGGGTGTGGGGGCTTTGGCTCCAGCGGAACCTGCCTTGAGCGCCTCCATCCTCGCCTTCATAGCGGCCAGCTTGTCCTGAACCGCGTCGCTAGCCCCAGCCGCCGGCGGTGGGGGCGTTGACGAGGCGGTCGGCTTCGCGAAACGGGCAGCAATCTCAGCAGCCTTTGCTTTGGCTTTGGCCTTTGCAGCTTCGACGGCATCTGATGGCTTCGCGCGCTTGGCGTCGCCATTTGGGCCCTGGCCGTCGGGATAGGGGCGCTTCTCCGCCATGGTCATGATGGGTGGTGGTGGTATGAGGTCGGGCGTCGGTCGTGTGAGGATGCGGAGTTTCGGGGGTGAGATTCTGATAGCGCACACCGGCTGCCAGGCGACTTGTCGGGCTGCTCACAGCACGTCGCTGTTCGCGGTCAATTGGCGGGAATTTTCGCAAGAGAGTGGCTCCGGACTGCGTGCGCGCGGGGTGTAGTGGTGGGCGAGATGGCGACGATGAAAGGCCGTGGCTGCGGAGTGACGCGAAATGCAGGCTGCGACTAGGCTAGTAGTCTTGGCGCGCATGCCCGCTAAACCCTGGGCGAACTTTTCTGGTCCCGAAAAAACTCCCCGCAAGTTTCGCGCTGCTGCGAACAACACAACCAACGCCTTTGCGCGCGGATTGCTTCGAGTACTGGCGCTGCTGGTGAAGAGGCGCCGCCATGAACACCCACCAGCCAACGTCCTCGGCCATTAATGGCGTCGAGTTTGGCTTTCTTACTACAAAAGACATCAAGTCGCTCTCGGTGAAGCGCATCACGAATCCAACCACCTTCGACTCGCTGCTGCACCCAGTGCCTGGAGGTCTGCACGATGCAGCATTGGGTGCTTTTCTGGACAACCCGTGAGCTTCATCAGGCCATTCAAAGCTCCGCCCTCTTTGCTGACAGTCTACAAGATGCGGAACATGCGGCCTCACCACCTTCCTAGGCTGTCCGGGCCACTGCGGCCATATCGAGCTCCCTGTACCTGTATACCACCTCACATTCATGGACCAGCTGTTGCGACTGCTCCGAGGCAAATGCGCATACTGCCACAAGCTCAAGCTCGCCCGCGTGCAGGTCAACGAATTCGTTTCCAAGCTGCGATTGATACGATGCGGATTAGTGCAGGAAGCAAACGACATGCACGAGCACATCAACATCGAAAAGGGCAAGACGAGCAGACAGACCAACGACGATTCCGAAGATGACGACGACAATGACGACATCATCTCGCAGCGAAACAACTACGTCAAGAAGTGTATGAAGCGAGCAGGCATCTCAAAGCACGATGCTAGGTCGGTGCGCGAAAAGAATGAAGCCATTTCCGACGCGCGGCGGCTGGTGGTCAAGGAATTCTACGCAGAACTCGTCAAGCGCAAGGTCTGTGGCAACTGCCAGGGTATCAGTCCCACGTACCGCAAGGACCGGGCTATCAAGATTTTCCGAAAGGCACTTAGCCAAAAAGACAAGACCAAGATGGCGCAGGCTGAGAAGCGCATCCAAAACCCCCTCGATGTGCTGGCTCGGCGAGACGCAAAGGCGAAGAAGCAGCATGTGCACGCGGATGAGGGTGTGGCGGACCTCGACCCCGCTTCCGAGGAAGATGAAGATGTCGACATGGAAGACGTACAACAAGCCGACGGCTCGCTTGTCGCCACAGAGTCACGCATGGCCCGGAAAGCAAAGACAGCCGAGACTCTAGACCCTGCGCAAGAGTATGTCAACTCGACCGAAGTCAAGGCTGCCATGACTCTGCTCTTTGAGAACGAATCGGAGATGATGCGGTTGATTTACAGTCCATACGGATCCAAGTCTCTAGTGGATGTGAGCGCTGACATGTTCTTCACTCAAGCCGTTATTGTCCCTCCCAACAAGTTCAGACCAGAAGACAAGACAGGCGACTCCATTGCTGAATCAGCCAAGAACAAGCTCTACAAAGGCATACTCGAGGCATGCGAAACTATTCGCCAAATCAGCCAGGAAATGCAGGGAAAGCCAAACGAACTGGGATACCGACAGCGAAACTTTGACGACATGCAGACCCAGTTTGTCAACCTGCAGGGCGCAGTCAACGCCCTCATCGACCGCGATGCCAACCCCGTGCAAGGCCGCGCTGCGGTGACCAATGCCGATGGAATCAAGCAGAATCTTGAGAAGAAGGAGGGTCTCTTCCGAAAGAACATGATGGGAAAGCGTGTCAACTTTGCCGCACGAAGTGTCATTTCGCCTGATCCCAACATTGAAACCAATGAAATTGGTGTGCCTCCAGTATTCGCCATCAAGCTCACATACCCCGAGCCAGTCACCAACCACAACTTCTACGACCTCAAGGAAGCGGTACTCAATGGGCCAGACAAGTGGCCTGGAGCCCATGCCATTGAGAACGAATATGGGCAAGTCATTTCACTTAAGAAGAAGAACTACGAGGAGCGATTAGCCTTGGCCAACCAACTCCTCGCCCCATCGAATTCGTACTCGAACGGTGCCAGGAACAAGAAGGTACATCGCCACCTCAACAACGGCGACGTGGTCATCATGAACCGACAACCGACACTGCACAAGCCCTCTATGATGGCGCACCGAGCACGTGTCTTGCCAGGAGAGAAGACGATTCGCATGCACTACGCCAACTGTAACACTTACAATGCCGATTTCGACGGTGACGAAATGAACATGCATTTCCCGCAGAACGAGCTTGCCCGTGCCGAGGCCATGACTGTAGCGGACACCGATCACCAGTATCTGTCTGCGACTGCCGGAAAACCCCTGCGAGGTTTGATTCAAGACCACATCTCTATGGGTGTCTGGCTGTCCAACAAGGATACCTTTTTTACAAGAGAAGAGTACCACCAGCTGCTCTATTCTTGCTTGCGGCCGGAGGATGGCCATACAACCTCGGGCAGGCTTGAGACTGTGGCACCTGCTGTCCTGAAGCCTCGGCCGTTGTGGACGGGTAAACAAATCATCACCACTGTCTTGAAGAACATCAAGCCCGCAGAGTACCAGAACCTGACACTTTCGTCCAAGTCATCCACCAATGGCAAGCTGTGGGGTGCACACTCCGAAGAGCAGTTTGTCATAGTCAAGGATGGCGCGCTTTTGACTGGTATCATGGACAAGAGTCAGATTGGGCCTGCTGCCGGTGGTCTGATCAACGGCATCTACGAGGCTTATGGCGAGACCATTGCCGGAAGGGCCTTGAGTATCATTGGACGGTTGCTTACCAAGATGCTGCACATGCGTGCCTTCTCCTGTGGTGTCGAAGATCTTATTCTTACTGAAGAGGGAGACAAGGCAAGGCTGGAAGAGCTCCAAAAAGCAGAGAAGCTTGGATTTGAAGTGGCTGCCAAGTATGTTACTCTGAACGCCGAAAACATCGACCCTACCAATCCCGAGCTGCGGCGACGACTCGAGGCAGTTTTGCGAGATGACACCAAGCAACACGGCCTCGACTTGCTCACAAACACGGCAAACAGCAAGATCTCTTCGGCAGTCACTGCGGCTGTGCTACCTGACAAGCTCATCAAGCCGTTCCCCAAGAACCAAATGCAGGCTATGACGGGTTCTGGTGCCAAGGGTAGTATGGTCAACGCCAACCAAATCTCGTGTAACCTTGGTCAGCAAGTTCTGGAAGGCCGAAGGGTTCCAGTCATGATTAGCGGTAAGACATTGCCGTGTTTCAAGCCCTTTGAAACTAGCGTCCGCGCTGGTGGTTACATTGTCAACCGTTTCTTGACTGGTATCCGGCCGCAAGAGTACTACTTCCACATGATGGCTGGTCGCGAAGGTCTCATTGATACCGCTGTCAAGACTTCGCGCTCTGGTTACCTGCAACGATGTATCATCAAGGGTATGGAGGGTCTTCGCGTCGAATACGATACCTCTGTTCGCGATTCAGACGGCTCCATGGTCCAGTTCCTCTACGGCGAAGACGGTCTCGACACGACAAAACAAAAGTACCTCAATGACTTCAAGTTCCAGGCCCAGAACTTCTACTCTTTGGCTCAAGCCCTCCACACGGCAGAGGCCTACCCACGCGTGTCCAGTGCCGAGGCTGTTGAGTACAACAAGAAGGCCATGAAGAAGGCCAGGAAGGGTGAAGTCGCAGCCATGGATCCTGCCACTGCCGTCTACACTCCCTCACGACACAGCGGCAGTACTTCTGAGATGTTCTTGCAGGCCAAGCGCGAGTACTGTGACAAGAACCCAGACAAGCTGCTCAAGAACAAGAAGAAGGACGAAGAGGGCGAGATTCTCAAGCGTACCTTTGAGCAGATGCTCGACCTCAAATACCTCAGATCTCTTGTCGAGCCTGGTGAGGCTGTCGGTGTCGTGGCTGGCCAGTCTATCGGTGAGCCCTCCACACAAATGACGCTCAACACCTTCCATTTGGCTGGTCACTCTGCGAAGAACGTCACTCTTGGTATCCCTCGTCTGCGAGAAATCGTCATGACGGCAAGTGCCAAAATCTCCACCCCATCGATGCAACTGTATCCTCATCCTGAACTGTCAAAGGAGGACAACGAGAAGTTTGCGAAGAGCATTACGCGTCTGCCGCTCTCGGCTGTGCTTGACAAGGTGACGGTCACGGAGACATCCGGCACTGGTACGCAGTATGGTCAGGCGAGAAGCTACAAGGTCCGTCTGGACTTTTACCCTGCCAAGGAGTACACCAAGGAGTACGCCATCAAGGTTCGCGACGTCGCCGAGGCTCTCGAGCAGAAGTTCTGCCCTCGCCTGCAAAAGATGATACGCGTTGACCTGAAGAAGAAGGGCGCCAACAAGTCGCTTTCGACGGCAAACTCGGCCAGTATTCCCACGATTGGTGAGAAGACTGGCAGGAGTGGCGAGGCAACTGTCGAAGAGTCTGAAGAGACAATGAGGGCTGGTCGGGAAGGCGGCGCCGAGGACGACGACAGTGATGATGGCGAGGGCGACAATGACACTACTCATGCCAAGGACCGAGGCAGGCGTGAGGACAGTGTAGCCTATGAAGAGCCAGAGGAGGAAGAGCAAGCTGCCAACGACAGGCTCGACCGAGAGGACGAGCTCAGCGACGACGATGAGACGTACGGCGGCAGCCCCAAGCCTTCGCGCGCCACCACTCCCGACCAAGAGTCAGACGACGAAGATGAACAGAGGCTGGTACCCACCGATGAGGCCTCTGACATTCGTCGCGACCGCATCTGCAACAAGAACAGGGACATTTTTGACTTTACTTTTGACGACCGCAAGGGCGGATTCTGTGAGATCAACTTTGAATTCCCAGCAGCCACCCCCAAGCTCCTCATGCTGCACCACGTTGAGGAGGCAGCCAACTTTGCCACGATCCACGTGATCCCTGGCATCACAGCAGCACAGTTTTCGGCGCAGTCCAAGGATGTTCCCGAGAATGTCATCAACACCGAAGGCTCCAACCTCATTGCCATGCGTGAATACGGGCACATTATCGACGTGAACCGCATTCTGACCAACGACATTGCAGCGATGCTGCACCTGTACGGAGTCGAGGCGGCGCGAGCGACCATTGTGCGTGAAATGCACGCCGTTTTCTCTGGCCACGGCATCAGCGTCGACCAGCGCCATCTCAACCTCATTGCCGACACAATGACCAAGGGTGGAGGCTTCACGCCCTTCAACCGCATCGGCATGAAGGGCAACGTAAGCCCGTTTATGAAGATGAGTTTCGAAACAACGGTTGGGTTCCTCAAAGATGCGGTGCTCGAGCGCGACTGGGACGAGCTCAAGAACCCCAGTGCGCGAATTGTCGTCGGCAGACTGAGCACTGTGGGTACCGGTGCGTTTGATGTCCTTGCCCCAGTCAAGATTCGCGATCCGCTCAAGGAAGTTGTCGAGGAGGTCAATGATGTCGCTCGTGGTGATGCTAGGCAGAAGCGCGATTCGGATTCTGAAAGCGAGGAGGAAGAGGAAGAAGAAGAGGAGGAGGGTGGTGAGGATGTGGAGATGCAGGATGTGGATGCTGAAGAAGTGCAAGAAGTGGAAGAAGTGGTGCAAGAAGAACCGAAGAAGAAGGAGAAGAAGGAGAAAAAAGACAAGAAGAAGAGTAAGAAGCACTAGGTCCCCTGTTCACTCACAGTTCTTGTGCTTTTTTGGGGGAGTCTTGCTATTTATGCTTGTAGACCTACATGCTATGAGGTTTTCTATTTTTCTTCACTATAGCCAGCATTCATGGGGGTTTTTTTTAGGGCGTTTGGCAAAAAGAGCGGGCTTTGGTATAATATCGCATGTATGTATGTAGTTACGTATGTTTTTTTTTGGAATTCGACGTTTTAGTATTGAACTTTATATGCATGGTGAGATTGGGTTGAGATGTTGTGTTGTGCGTGATGCTGATGCCTGTACTTCCCCTTTGCAATGAATGTTTATGAGTATGGCTTCTTGATTCTAGTGTATGTAGGTATTGGCGCAACACAGTAATGTATATGTGTGTATGTGTGTGACTTGCATGCCCTGACTCGTAGGTTTAGCGGCTTTGCCGTTATCAGTATTGGCGTCGGCGCTTGGACACGGCAATGATATCTCTTTATTTTTTAGCCTTGTCCTCCTCCTCCTTCTACTTCTCTCTCTCTCTCTCTCTCTCACACACACACACACATCTTGTTTCGGGCGTGTTGAGAAATGAGAAATCAGTTGATAAACGTGCATTTACATTTGCATGTACTTTTACATCGATATACCGTGATGGAGATACATAGTGACTTACTTACGCATCCACTTTCTTGCCACACACATTGCATTATTCCATCGTTGATTTCCTCTTCCATCCATTCAGGTAGCTAGAATGAATAGAAACAGCTCAGTGCGACGCGTAGACAGGATAACATGTGATTCAGTAAAACACTCCCGCACACACAGATATAACCGTAGCTCCATGACAAGGGAACAAAGTGGGGGAGCCGGCAATCTCGACATCCAGCGAGTGGGGAAAGCGGGGGAGTATAGTAGTGGTAGCGGGGAAGAACTGATAGATGGATAGATGGGGGTGGAGTGATGTGATGTGATGCGACGAGTAACATAACATAACATAGTTAACATAACAAAACGTAACGTAACGTAATGTAAAAAGTGAGGCGTACCAACTCCCTATGTAGCAACGAATCACAGAACCACAGAATCAACAAATCAGCTATCGAATCAATCAATCAATCAGCCAAGTAACTGAATATGTACATGACTAGGTCATTGCCTGACTAGCTCCAAATTCCGGTTTCTTCCGTGGAGAAATCTATCAAAAAAGAAGAAGAAGAAGAATGGGAACAAGAAGAAGAAGAAGGTAGGGATACCCCTCCTCACCCCTAAACCTAGACCTAGGCCTGCACCTAGACCTAGACCTGTGGGCTGTAGGTGGATACGGAGAGGCTATATGTGGAGGCTATATGTGCGGAGATGATTTATATGTGCGGAGGTTATCTGTGGAGACTATGTGCGGAGGCTATCGCTACATGTGTGGCGTGTCGGTGCGTGGAGTGTGGGGAAAAGATAAGTACACGGATAGATAACTAGATACATGCATAGGATACGTACGTGACACAGATACGTGACATGTATGTCCATTGGAGATACATGAGTATGCGGGGGACTGAGTACCCGAGTAACCCAATCGAATCGAATCGAATCGAGTATCCAACGGCTGCATCATGAGCGCTTAGCAATGATAACAATAGTTGTAAACGACTAAGCGTGAATGAGAAGAACACTGTCTTTTCTTTTCCTTTCTTATTTCTTATTATTTGTTCGAGAACCAAAATTACATGCATCTAGCGATTGTGTATCAAAGTACACATATACAATCTACCACTATACATGCCTCCCCCCCACCCCCTAGTATGTATGTATGTATATTCTTTTTCCTATCATTCTTTTTTTTTCGTAAAACATTCGGCTGCTGTAGAGTTTGCGGGATTTTCTAATAGTATAAAGTGGTGTGTTATACGTGAACTAAATTATACACTAACTGATATATCGGTGTGGGTTATCATGAGCTAGATAGCTAGGCGGATAGATAGATAGGTAGGTAGATAGATGGCGAGACGGAGATGTTCTTGTTGTAGTTGTTTTTCTGAAAACAAAAAAAAGGGGGGTGACTTTGTGTATGTGTACACGTACACACCGATACTGATGTACTAGAACTACAAGCACTAGTACAAATACTGCGGGGAATTCTGAGATAAAGCAACTATTCGAGAAAGAAAAAAAAAGAAAAACAATCCCCAACGGAGTGACGTGATTGTTCTTTGGAATGATTGGTACGAGAAAAGCCTACAATGACAAGCCTACTGGCGCGAGTACAACTAATCAATCCTCATACCATATCCAACTCACTACACAGAGTCAACCTAGGTAGGTATGTAGACACACAAGGTATCGGCGACCGATTCAAAAGCCTGCAATACCAAGAAAAAAAACAGGCTCAAACCCAACCCAACCAACCAAGAGACATGTGAGTGATATGATATGATAGGATGGGAGAAAAGAAACAAGCAGCCAAGCACATGTGTGTGTGCATGTTGTAAACCTAGTCTAGACTAGCACTAGTGGGTAAAAAAAAGGCCGAGTGAGTTACTAAACTGAGGTTAGGTTGAGGGTGAGTAAGCGAGTGGGGCGAGTAATGTACATATGTATGTATGTATGTACGGCTAGAAATACGAGCTGTAACTGTGGCATGTTACTCGGGTACTTTTTGCTGTACCAGGATACTTTCTGTGTAACCTGCACTGGCACTACCGTGCATCTAACTCTGTACAGTGTAAAGCCAGGTTTTCCATACATGCTTCTTTGGCGGAATAAAAGAAGTTTATTCTTGTATCCCTTTTCTTTTTTCTCTTCGAACAGTACTTCCACATTTTTCTTTTGCACGACGTCCACGTAGTTGATAGACTTGACGTCACGCCGCGTTTCAACCAAACATTACATGGTTAAGGTTTGTGCCCCGGATTCCCCGTGCCAGATACGCGGGCGGGCTGTTTGTTGCGAGTCGTTTTTTTGTTTGTGCAACAAAGCAAAGACGGCACGCACGTCGGAACTGCTAGGCTCAACAAACAGGGGGGGAGGGAGGAGCAGGCGATCATCAATGCCGAACGTCGTCGCTTAGAGGGAGGTGATCAGCCGCAGTGCATAAGCACGTGAAAGGGCGGCCGTTGTCGTGTGTCGTTGGCCTTGGCGTCGCCAAAAAGTGGCGGGCCCGTTGAGGCTATGCATACCTTGCCTTGGTCCCCCGGCAGACAGGCAAGGAATGGAGATGCCGATTAACGAGGTATCTCGGTGAAGAAGAGGAAGACGGAGAGGAGAGTTTGCCGCGGTTGGAGGTCAACGAGGCCATGTTCGGTAGCAGCTGAATGTGGATAAGGATGGGATCCTTGCTTGGTGATAGCAAAAGGTCATGTGAGGGGGCAATTGGCCGAGAAAGGCGTCGCTTTTTCTGTCCCCTTGTATCATCTTGTATCGTGTATCGTCGGATTGCCTTGCCTCTGTCTATCTCGCATACACATACTCGAGCGGTGATAGCAAAAGTCGCAGGGGTGGAACAGGGAGGTGGCAATTGCGTAGGTGTACGCGCGCACAGAGCCGACCGGCATACCCGTCGAGCCCAGGTCAGCCCAGCCGTCATGGGCCGAAAAGGATGCGAAAGGCATGTTGTTTCGAAAAAAACACACAGACACATCTCCACTTTCACATGCTAGATCTCACACCCCAGCACGTACCCCAGCACTTCGTGCGATAGCGAGAAAAAAAAGGACGTGGGAAACAGGGCCTTTGTCAAGACACGCTCCACTAAACGGCAATAGCAGGGGCACATGCCGTCGCTGGACCAAAAGGCTGCATGGCTAGAGATGCCGGCGCGGCACGTATGACGGAACAAGCGCCCGCTATGCATCAATTGGCAAGACGTCAATGGCCGTCGACGTGATAAGCCGCCATTGTCCAATTGCAAGGCGCAACGGCGTCAGGAGAAGAAAGGAAGAGAAGAAAAAAGGGAAACCAGCCAAAATAAAAACTTTGCTCTAGTGCCAAACGCCACTCAGCCGCGGTACGACGTCGTTGGGGTTGTGGAGGATTTGCAATGACGGAGAGTAAAGGGGAGATAGCGGATGCGCGACAACGACGACTTGCATGGATACGAGCACGACGAACTGATAGCGGGTTCGGCGTTGCCATGTAGCCGGAGACTGGGGGGGAAGGATCTCTGCTAGCGACGATGAGCAATACGAAGGCAAGATAATAGGACAGAGACAATGCCAAGATGCAAAGAGGGAGAGGGAGAGAGGGTCCGTATCTGACGTTGCGGCGGCGCGGGTGCGGGATTCCTTTCCTCTGTGCCAGTGTGGCCCAAGCGGCGCGCCTCAACTAATACTTACTTTCACATGCCAGAATGCAGCGGTTGCAGGCCGAAGAAAGAAGAAAAAAAACGCCCTGCATGCTGCACTCCAGCTGCTCAACGCATTTTGTGCGACGTTAATACATGTGTGTATGAACATATGTCTGTATGGATCAAGGGCTGCGTCGATGTGTAAGCCGCGGGGGTCCGCGGGGCTGCCCATGCCCATGCCCATGACAGCAACGCCGGCGGTTCGCTGGGGGCCGGGGATGTGCTTGTGGATGTGGATGTGGATGTGGCCATGGGCGTGGGCTCTGCATGGTGAGACGAGACGGCGGATTAGATGGAGTGCTATACATGTACTGCACAGCAGCAGCAGCAGCGCATGAGAAGAAACGCCCGCTGCTGGCGGCCCAGGATCCGGCTTCCTATTGGCACGGGCGGCGTTTCGCGTGCTCTGGGGCCAGATGCAAGGCCAAGAAGAGCGTTTTGCCCCTAACATACGATGCGATCGTGATGATGGTGCGGATGATGATGATGCTGCTGCTGAGACGTAGTGGTGGCGGTGGTGGTGGTGGTGGGTTGGGTTGGGCTGGGTGCTGGGTGCAAGAACAAGAATAGTGCATTATCGATAAGAGGGCCGGCTTTCACATGTCAGCCCCCCCAAAGGCTAACGCCGCCTTGAGCCAAAGCCTGTCCAACCAAGCTCACTCACATCATAGCGCTCGGGAGATCGAGGCACAGCGAGAGGGGGGTGGCTGATTGATATAATAAGGCGGACGGAGCATCTCCCTTCCCACTCCCCACCCCGTCACCGTCTCCGATCTCCTTCCCCCTACTCCATTTTACTCTTGCCGCCCAATGGCACCTCACGCAACCGGCGACAGCAACATGGGAAACAGCGACGCTCCTCTTACCAACGGCGACACGCCCAGCTCAAAAGTCTTGTCGGTACGTCTTCCATCTCTACTAGTCCTGCGACCATTCCATCTAACACGCCTCAGCACCTGACGTCGTACCCCGTTGTGCACGACGGCCTCGAGACATTCAAGACGCACCCGTACGGCGAGCGCGCGCTGAACCTCGCCAACACCACGTACAAGACGCTCGTCGAGCCGCTGCACCCCTACCTGAGCACTCCCTACTCCTACGTAAAGCCCTATCTTGCGCGCGCCGACCAGCTGGGCGACAACGGCCTGTCGACGCTCGAGCACCACCTGCCCATTGTCAAGCAGGACACGCAGACGCTCAAGGAGTATGCCTACTCGCCCGTCCACTACGTCCAGGACGCCTGGCACGACGAGTACACAAAGACGCAGTACAACAATGGCGTCATCAAGATGGGTGTCGCTGCCGTCAGCTTCGAGCTCAGAATGGTTAGTGATGCGTGTGATGTGCTGCTTGCGTACCTGAACAAGGGCAAGGAGCACACCAAGAAGAAGATGGAAGAGGTGAAGCAGTAGACGTTTGCAATGCGCGGATTCACTAGGGTGGTCTTTTTTGGATATTGTTTTCTTTTCTCAGCTGTTCTTACCATCTTGTTTCTCTCCTCTTTTGCAGGCTTCCTTACCATGTGTCGCAGCATATATCCCTCTCTAGCCAAAGAGGTTAGAGAATTACTTGTTTTTTTTACCCTCTTACACACCATGGTTGAACAAGGATTTCGTCACGGCCGTTTTTTTTCAGTCTTTTGCCGACAACATGGTAACCTCCATCATATCCGTAGACTGGGCTTGGCTTCCGTGCTGGGGCATCGACTCATGATTATCATATCCCTTTTCGACAAATATAAACACAAGACTGAACAACTACACCTTGATTTCCTGCTTGACTTCGCATACACTGCACATGTCTTCGCATTCTACACGTCGTCTCCTGCTTTGAATTGCACATCATTTCTGAATTGCACATGACGATGCATGCGGCGCTACCACCGTCACCATCTCAAGTCCACATTCATGCGCATTCGTCAACTTCGTCAATTCAGTCCCATGTCGGATTCTCATGCTTTGATTATAAGCCGAAATACACGCCTGGTGGAAGGCCGCATGGTCGGGTCCTGTCCTCCTACGCTATCCACCGACATGCTCTACAGGGTTTTTTCCGTGTCAAATCATGCCCATCTGCGCCCAGCCGTAACCAAAGGAAAAGCTTAGAACTGTAAGGGAGTGAAGAACCACCTGTTCTTGCCCGACTGGTATCGCTCCTCGAATGCCTTCTTGACCGTCTTCTTGGCCTCCTCCCGTTGCGACACCTCCTTGAATGTGTCGGCAGAGATGACGCCCTTGAGGTTCTCCAGCTCAATCGTGTAGCGGGTGGGCATAATGTGCGTGTCTGCGCTTGTCAGTGCCTGCTCCCCCTGCCAGCCTCGCATCCACCTACAGTTGACCTGCTTGACAAAAGGCTTGACCTTGCTCTTCTTGGCCTGCTTCGTCTTGGACATGCGGCGGGTGACCTTGGATGGGTACGTCTCGATACCGGCAACGAGAGCGTGGGGGAAGGGGTGTGACTTGGTGCCGTTGTCCAGGGGCGAAATGATCACACACTTCTTTCCGGCATAGCGGCCCCGGGTGATGATCTAGGCGGACGGTGAGTGAGTGCGACTGAGCGGCTTCGAGCGATTCAAACGTACGACAACGCGTCCGACCTTGAGGCTAAAAACGAAATGTTAGCAGCTGTTCCCCTCGCACATGGCACCTTTTTCGCGGGCTGCAGCCATTGGCGTCCCGCAACACACAGGCGCCGGCATCGCGGTGCGCCAAGTTGCGGTCCAGAAAACGGTGTGCGTAAATTCGGGAGGGGCTCACTCACAACTTCATTGTGGCTGTCGTCCGGGTTAGTGATGGATAACTTTCGTAGAGGTTCGGGTGTCAGAAATCTGGTGTCAGTGTGGGCAGCTCGCTAGTTCTTTCTTCCGGCGCCCACGCTAACCCGGCTAGCGCCGCCGCCGCTGGTTGGCTGGCCCCGCCCGCGCCTCTTCGAAATCTCGGCGCAGCCCAAAAGTTCGCGACGCCGACTGCTCGACCTGCAACGACACGGACGACGCCCGCCATGAAGATCAAGACGCTCAGCCGCTCCACCGCCTCGGTGCAGGCCCCCGGATCCAATGTTTCCCAGGTCACCCGCAACCTCGACCCCAACCAGCACCCCTTTGAGCGCGCGCGAGAATACACCAGAGCTCTCAATGCGACAAAGATCGAGCGCATGTTTGCGCAGCCCTTCCTCGGCAGCTTCGAGCCTGGACACGTCGATGGAGTGTACTCGTTTGCAAAGGACCCCAATTCGCTCGAGCACTTTGCCAGCGGCAGCGGTGACGGCATTGTAAAAGTCTGGGACTTTACAAGCAGAGAGGAAAAATGGCAGGCACAGGCACACGAGAACCTGGTCAAGGGCATGTGCTGGACGCGAGACAAGAGGCTGATCACCTGCGGCTCCGACCGTCAGATACAAATGTTCGAGCCCTACGCCCAGCCGTCTCGGTCGCCGCCAAAGGCAACCTGGCACGGCAATTCAGCCTTTACATCCGTCTCGCACCATCGCTCGCTGCCCACCTTTGCTGCCGGCTCTAGTGTCATATCCATATACGACACATCAAGGACTTCGGGTGCACCCGTCTCGAGCCTTGTTTGGCCATCTGTAAGTATTTGCTGGTTCAAGCATATGCCACAATACTGACTGGGAAAGGCTATCGATACGATTACCGACGTCAAGTTCAACCAAGTCGAAACCTCCATCCTCGCTTCATGCGCGACCGATCGAGCCGTCATCCTCTACGATGCACGCACAAACTCGCCTCTTCACCGCACAGTCCTCAACTTTGCCGCCAACTGCCTCTCCTGGAACCCAATGGAGGCCTACAACTTTGCTGTGGCGTCTGAAGACCACAACGGATACATCTTTGACATGCGTAACATGAAGCGAGCGTTACAAGTCCTGGTAAGCCAAATTTTAATTTACAGCTTTAGAATATGTCTAACATCATGCAGAAAGGACATGTTGCCGCGGTCATGTCGATCGAGTTCTCGCCCACAGGAGAGGAACTCATTACTGGCAGCTACGACAAGACCATCCGTTTGTGGGAGCGTCAAAAGGGTCATTCCCGAGACGTCTATCATACAAAGCGAATGCAGCGCGTCTTCTCAGTCGCCTGGAGCCCCGACAACAACTATGTCATCAGCGGATCAGATGACGGTAATGTCCGTCTATGGCGAGCAAGAGCATCTGAACGGCGGGGCGTCAAGTCATTTGCCCTACGCCAGAAGCTGCAGTACGACGAAGCACTCAAGGAGCGATACAAGCACATGCCAGAGATCAAGCGCATCGACAAACACAGGCATCTCCCCAAGACGGTCAAGAAGGCTGGCGAGATCAAGAACGAGGAGCTCAAGTCTATCAAGAGGAAGGAGGAGAACGAAAGGAGACATACCAAGAAGGGCGAGGTCAGGCGGAGGGCTGAGCGTGAAAAGATGATTCTAGCACGAGAGCAATGAGGTTATGGACATTGAGAAGAGAAAAAATTACTAGAGCTTCCTGCATAGCGTTGGCGTTTTGGTCTGTATTTTTTGTCGTACAAGACATTTGGTCTTACGTGATACCACTGGATGTGCATATGGTGGGTAAAAAAGACCTGGGATATAGTATTTGCATGTTGAACAATATTAGTTGTTTGTACTTGATTGAGATTGGATCATCTATGTGTACTCGACATTGCCTGTTCATGAGTGAAGCCAACTCACGTGATCAGACTCAACGGACTTCCCTTACACTGCTGTGCCGACCATAGCAATCATGGTGTGCAGTCTGATCCGACATGGCCTCTTCATCATAATCCATATTCATCTCCGTCTTTCCCTCAACAACACTATTACTACCCGAGCTCTGCTCAAACATCTGCCGCCGCATTGAACCCCGACCTAGCCTCCCTCCACCTTTCGCATTGTAATCTCCCCATTCTTCGAATAGGTAATCCAGGCCTGAAGCGAGATTTTGCAATACGGTATTAGGCTACAGCCGCCCAAAGGAATACCCACAAGGCAATAAGCTAACCTCAAGTGTAACAACCAAGTCCGCAAGAACAGGTCAGGCACATAAAGTAACATGCACGTAATCACTTGAACAAAGCTACTTGAAGACAGAATTCATTAATAAACTAGAAGACACTATGCAAGCCACTTGATGACAGTTTCATTCTTCGCAGGCGCTATGCTTCCCTCCTCATCCCAGCTCGGATCCTGTGGCCTCGGTGGCCAAAGCCTCTGACACTCCTCCAAATACCTTGCCATCGTATCCTCCGTCAATTCCACACCCGACCTTCCCCCCTCCTCTTCCTCATTCTCCAATTCCTCTTCGGCAACAGCTTCTTCGGCGGGCAGGGCAAAAGCCCTTGCAGCTCTGTGAAGCTGGAAGACAGATACTCTTGAAGCATCAGCTGCTCCAACGCTCGAAAATGCCTTTGTCGAGAAAACTTTGGCCGTGTGCCCGAATCCGGTCAAAATCCTCTCGTCAATCAACTTCCAAACACTGACTTCGTCCCCAGAGATTCCCTCGTCAATCTCTTCGACAGTGTGTTTGCTTACTGTCACAGTAAGCTGAGCCTGTAGCGACTCGCGGGCTTTTCGCTCATCCGAGACGGTTTCTGCATTCATGAACAAGCCTTCTTCGTTACAGGCTTGTCCCACACCAAGCCATTCTGCCTCCTCAAGCATGAACAGCCTTGCCAAGCGCTCAGGCTGGCAACAGACAATATGAAGCCGACTTGCAGCTAGCAGCGCGTCTCCTAGGACGCTCCAGATATCCGTCCAAGTGATGTTCAAGGAAGCGGATTTGGAAGGATTAATGATGATTTGGAGAATCATCTTCTCCGGGTCAAGCGAGAGCATCTCCCAGTCTTCAGGGCCCCAGATGGGGTATGCGGTAGGAGAGAGAAAGGATAGCGCTGTGGCATGCGCTTCCTTGCAGGTAAGGAGAAGAGGTGTTGGTGGTGAAATGCTTGTGACGTCGAATTCTGTTTCGTTGAATTCGACTGTTGCGGTTCGAGGCAGGCTAGCAAGCCAAATCATCTCGCGGACCTCCTTGGGCAGCTTGAAGAATGATGTGAAGGTAGACATGGTAGTAGTGGTGGTAAATTGGCTTGAGTAACTTATTCAGGGGTTCTGAAACTACTTTGTCTTTGGAGAAAAATGGTATGTATGTAGTGATGTGTGATGAAGAGATGATAGTGCTAACAAGAAAGACAGGTGGGCATGCATCCCTTTTATGGAATTCTCGAAATCTCAAAGCTTAGTACTGTAAGGAAACTGTATTATCGTAAGAGTGGGGATTTAAGCTAATCATAGTGATTGTAATTGCTTGGAATAACCTTTCTGGAACATGCCTTCAAGCTAGCCTATCGTTGACTCCCTTTGTGTCATCAACCGCACCCTTCACATCTGACTCATTCAAGCAACGTGAACTGACTATCTGTTTCTAGAAAACTCATAGATTACCTTCCTACTATATGGTCACTCTTTCTCCGTAACTTCTGATATGACGCATACTAGGTAATAAATTCATTCACTATGCTCTATTGACTAGTATACTATTAGATTCTTTCAAAGATCTAACATGAAAATTGGGGCTCTAATACCAGCTTTAGTAAACACGTACGGTTCCCTCCTTTGCAGACTTTGCAGAAGAAAATCAACAATATCATGTCTAGCCTGATAACCAATCCTATCATACATTTTGCGAACGACATTAGCACATGCCACATTCAGCGTTTGATCCGGCCCCTAACATGCAGAAATGACCTTGCCGTAGATCAGAGGAAGAACATAATCTTTGTTGAGGTTTGTTGGGCCACACGTGGCAAACGTAGCATGCAGGCTTGTTACAGCTAATCGAAGCGTCTAGCATGCTGTATTAGATCTATAATTAGGTTTTTGAGACTATCCTATAGAATCTGGTTGAGTAGTAAAATTAGAGTAATCAAGGGTTCCTGTGCCCTTGTTCGTATGGTGTTTCTTAGCTTCAGTGGAGACCGCATCTCTAACCGCCTCATCGCCAGGAACAAGTCCGATATGTCTCGATCAGCTGATTTTTAACCCAGGATATCCATAATCTCGGGGTGTTACATAGCAATAGGGTGATGGTGACTGTCTTTGGGCGGGCAGAGTGTCACTCCTGGGGCTGACTTCTTACTTAGAAGCTTTGACCTTAGTCTAACTAGCCCCACCACAAAGTGCGCGCGACCACAAAGTGCGCGCGCGCCTTACAACCACCTCAACCTCAACGCGTCGTATCCCCACCACCATGGCTAATATTGAGGCTGCGCTTGCAGCTATTAATGCCCTAGGACCTAATGAGCCTTTTTCGTATACAGATATTGCAAAAAAATATAGTGTTGTTCAATCTACGCTTACCTAAAGACACCAAGGCCTACACGCCTCACGCGCGATAGGTGGCCAAAAACGGCAGCTCCTCCACCCACAGCAGGAGCAGGCCCTAATCGCCTATATCAATCGACTAACAGATAGAGGCTTACCACCTACTTAGCCAATGATACGCAATTTTGCCTCACAGATCGCCAAGACTGAGGTTGGAGTACACTAGGCTAGTCGCTTCGTCCAGCGCTATCCTGATCAACTTACCTCAAGGTGGGCAAAAGGCCTTGATAACTGTCGCTACAAAGCAGATTTAAGAAG